AGAGTAATCCCTAACTCAAGGCACTTGCTACATGCTTAGTATAATATCATAAATTGTGTCCGCTCTTGTCATTCATTTAATAGAAGCAACTGATAGAGATAAAGTGTCCCCTGACAAATTTCCTTTGTACTTGGTTTATGTTGGCATGGTGCCTCATATGTGTTTTACACTTCTTTGCATTTTGTACACCACCATATGACAAATACCCGTCAAACAAAAACTAAGCAGATTTATAACTGCTTAACTTAAAATGAACCCCTTTCCTGCCAAAACTTTATGACTTCATTTTCTTTCATACTTTTCCACTAGGTTGGTTAAAACAGACAATCCTGCATGAGGTCAGACAGAGGTCATTTCACTTTCATTACTAAAATATAATTTACAATATGCCAGACCTAAACAAGTTTTAGCCTAAAGGATTTGTATAATATAAACCATCTGTGTCTCAACAATACAGCTAATTTCCTGCCATCACTGCACAGTCAACTGGCTGCTTGTTTAAATGCCTCTGCGATATATTAATTCACACAGTATTTATCTAAAATTTGTAAATGGTTAGGAAAATTAGAATTCAGTCCTGAGTGTCACTTTCAAATGATAATAAAGTGCATTGGGGCTTTCTGCTCCTCCCCTTTTCTTTTTCTTCTTTTGTTTGCAATATTGCTTTGGCAAAATTGGAGTGAGAGTAGCAAGGATCTCAAGTAAAGGAAAACTTAATTTCCGAAAGGTCCTGAACATTGAGTTCCCCGCTCAATTACTGTCACCTACTTCATGAATGGAAACGTTGAAGTTCACATGCTTTATGACGGAATTATTTTTAACTCTGTATCTATAAAGTAAAGAAATGGGAAGGGGTGTCTTGAAAACCACTGCAACACCACTCTTGTTATAGTATCCTCCTACAGTATCAGACGTATGGCACTGAGATTTTAGCCATCATCCAAATTTATTGTTGACATGTCGTCTTCTTTCTAACAGAGCAAAGCCAAAGAGCTGCCTCTATCTGCTGTCCGTTTTATGGAAGAGTTGGGTGAATGTGCCTTTGGCAAAATCTACAAGGGACACCTTTATCTACCAGGCATGGATCATGCTCAGCTGGTTGCAATTAAGACCCTAAAGGACTGCAACAATCCACAACAGTGGGCAGAGTTCCAGCAGGAAGCCTCTCTGATGGCAGAACTACATCATCCCAACATCGTTTGCCTTCTTGGCGTTGTGACTCAGGAGCAGCCGGTCTGCATGCTTTTTGAGTACATGAATCAAGGGGACCTGCATGAATTTCTTATAATGCGATCACCACATTCAGATGTTGGGTGCAGCAGTGATGAGGATGGTACTGTAAAATCTAGCTTAGATCATGGAGATTTTCTGCACGTAGCAGTCCAGATTGCAGCAGGGATGGAATACTTATCAAGTCATTTTTTTGTTCACAAGGATCTGGCTGCTCGAAATATTTTAATTGGAGAACAGCTCCACGTGAAGATTTCTGATTTGGGACTGTCAAGAGAAATCTACTCTGCAGATTATTTCAGAGTTCAAAACAAGTCCCTCTTACCCATTCGTTGGATGCCCCCAGAGGCAATTCTGTATGGCAAATTCTCTTCCGATTCAGACATCTGGTCCTTCGGTGTTGTCCTGTGGGAGATTTTCAGCTTTGGTCTCCAGCCCTATTATGGATTTAGTAACCAAGAGGTCATAGAAATGGTTAGGAAGCGACAACTTTTGCCATGCTCTGAAGACTGCCCTCCCAGAATGTACAGCTTGATGACCGAATGTTGGCATGAGCTGCCATCTCGGAGACCAAGGTTTAAAGATATCCATGCCAGGCTGCGTTCTTGGGAGGGGCTGTCAAGTCACACTAGTTCTACTACTCCTTCTGGTGGAAATGCTACCACTCAGACAACTTCTCTCAGTGCAAGCCCAGTTAGCAACCTGAGTAACCCTAGGTACCCTAACTACATGTTTCCAGCACAGGGTATACCACAAGGCCAAATTGCTGGATTTATTGGCCCACCAATACCTCAAAACCAGCGATTTATTCCTATAAATGGATATCCAATTCCTCCTGGATATGCTGCTTTCCCAGCTGCTCACTACCAGCCTGCAGGCCCACCCAGAGTAATTCAGCACTGTCCTCCACCAAAGAGTCGTTCGCCAAGTAGTGCAAGTGGATCAACCAGCACCGGGCATGTGACTAGCTTACCCTCTTCAGGATCTAATCAGGATGCAAATATTCCTTTGCTGTCTCATATGTCTATGCAGAGTCATCCAAGTGGGATTAGTATAACCGTTTTTGGAAACAAAACTCAAAAACCCTACAAAATTGACTCCAAACAGACATCTCTATTAGGAGATTCCAGTATTCATGGACATAATGAGACCGTGATTTCAGCAGAGATGTAAATAAACAAGACTTTTGTAAATAAACCTATTTACAATATGGAATATAGAACGTTTTTAGAGGAGATTTATATTCAAATATTTTATTGGAGATTCTTCTGGCTGTATAAAGAGATATTTGCAATAAGTATCTTCTGTGAAGTTTATTTGTGCTTAACAGGATAAAGAGGTGCCAACCGTATTTTTCAAAAATGGAGTTTACACTCAATATCTTGGGTGAACCCTTATTTTACAGCTACCAAGGAGAAAGAAATTTGTGTGTGTGTGTGAGAGTGAAAAAGAAACTTAACTGTGATGCGTTTTATTTAATCACAGTTCCGTAATTTCTGCCTCAGCAATCTTATTATTCTAAACCCATTTTAATATTGGTCACTTTTATGAATGAATGTGGTTAAGACAAATGTTGAGGACAATTAAGTATGCTCCTGTAGAATGGAAGTTGTACTCTTTTTTGGTCTAATGTGGTTTGAGGGCACCACAAGACACAAGTACCTGATCCAGAGATAGGGTGAAACCAAACACCGTGATAAATTTGCTTGTATTTCATTTTAATGGCACACATTGGGCATTGACTTTTATTATTTCCCCCCTTTAAACAGCATCCACAAATCAGAAGTGTAGTGGATGTGCAATATATTATCAAAATGACAATTCCTTTCTAGACAAGAATTTTGTTCAGACATATTCAGTTTTGAGTATGTAAACAGTTTCTGTCTAATGATACGTCTAAGCTCATGCATAAACTAGGACAGGCAATAGAACCCTCTTGGAACTGCATATGATAAGTGAGTGAAAATTATACTTCTTGACGTTATATCTGTAGTTGCAATAGAAATTTTGTATCCCTTTGTTGCTATGCAACCCTTTAATTAAAGAAAACTCTAAATTCTTATTTTATAACAGACAATCAGTTTTCCCAAGAATATTTATTATTTCAAGTAAAATAAATAGCTTTTGTAGTGATAACCCTGAAAAGGGAAGCCTACATTCCATCAGTTGTACACAACAATTTTTTAGAAATTTTCTATGATAACTTTTGTATGTCATTTCAAATAATGTGAATTAGAATTAACTTTTTACTAGAAAATTGCATTTTTATTACTGAATTTTATTCAGGTGTAATCAATCTGGATTATTTTGAAACCACTGTAATGTTTGAAAAAATACTGTGTAAATTACAACCTCTCAGACTTTTTTATTAAAATAATTTTTGTATGGATTATATACACAAATCTTTCAGACACTTGACAGTACTTTTTTCAAAATCTTTTGCACAAAAATGTTGACTTTGTATAGCAGAAGTGAAAAATACATCCTGCTTTTTATTTCTTGTCTGTTTCTCATTTTTTATCTACGTGGATATGTCTTTGAAATATACAAGGTAACATTTAGACAATGTTTTAATACATATTTTGTTTTCATTGCATGCATTTGATTACTGTATTACTTTATTAATCTACTCATTGAGGATGTTGCACTAAGGTAAGCATGTAAATGTAGCAACACAGACTACTTTATGCAGAAGCAAAGTGCATTTTTGTATAAACATGGTATTAAAGAAGAACATGCATATTTTCGGAATGATAATCAATGTTCTGAAAATCTCAGATGGATTAAGCTAGCCTTCCTTATACAATGAGTCAATTGAGACTATTGTTATTAGTCATTTGAGACTATTTTTATTAGTCATTTGAGACTATTGTTAACCATCATCCATCTCCAAACTGTCCCCAGATCAATCTCACAAAGTGGGCTATTTTATGTTTTCCAGTGTACTGCTTACTTTCATGACTCTACAAACTGCTTTTGAAAATTTCCCCTTCATTTTCCAGAGTTATTTGCCATGCAGTGAGGTAAAGAGACTCCTGTCTGAGGGAAAACAATTCAAAAGCCCCCTTGGGCTCTATTATTATTATTATTATTATTATTATTATTATTATTATTATTATTATTTATTATTACTCTTCTAGTCACTATTGCTAAACAGATCAAAAGTTCTCATGAGATGTATTCTGAATGACAAGCCAAATTGCATATATTTTAATTTGTGGATGCTTTAAGCATCTTCAAAATACAAGCCAATTGTGTGTCTGTTAAATATAGAATATTGGCAGTGAAAACCATGCTCTGAGCAAAAACTGAGCCAGTTGTCTTGCGCAATAGAAAAAATTGTTAATGCCAACTATCAAATCTTTTTCTTCTTGCACAAGGTACAGGTTGTGTGCTTTTTTAAAAAACAACAACACTTAAATAGGAACAGGAATTCACAAAGGAGCTAATGAAGACAAGAAAGCAGTTCAACAGTATCAATTGAATAATATGGGTGGGGGAAACTTTGCTAAAGAATCAACATTTTGCAAACTGTGGTGAAAATATGGTTTCTGCAACTTGGACATACAGAGGAAGAAATGTCATAAACCTTCACACTTTAAATAATCATTTCATCTTTCTTCAAATAAATGAAATATAATACTTTAAACAATACCTTATGAAGCTTGAAAGATGCAAATGTAAGTTCAGAAAAACAGCAAAATTAAAGAACAAAATCCTGTCTAATCCTGCTAACAGAAAAAAGCAGCTAATTTAAAGGTTACCTCACACAATTTAATAGTTTCCTTACCTTTCACAAAGATTCAATAGAGAGGCACTTTTACAAAGCAAGCATCACAGCTGGAACTGGGAATTGCCCTGCAGTGAGTTAAGGACTGAAAATAAATATATGACAATGAACGTGACAGGTCTGTGAATACTGCACGGGTCTTGGATCTGACAAACCAGCAAAATAGGATTTTATTTTTGAAATACATGCAAGAAGACTTGTACACTTACTGACCAACTCTTTTGCTGGACCTGGAGCCATACTTGTACCCAGTTCTGCATTCATGCATTCAATGGGGTAAACAAGGATGGAGCATCTGTGGGCCTTCAGATGTAGCTTGACATCAACTCCCATCACTGTTCACCGTGGTCATGCTGGCTGGTAGGATCTGGACTCCAGCAACCTGAGGGCCACAAGTTAGCTACAATTATGAGTTCTCACATATGTTGTTAGTTGCTCAAGAAAAAAATTCATGAGTAGAATTAAGTTTGGATGGTCAACCGTGAAGCTCACTGGGTGACCTTTCACAAGTCACTATATTATCAGCCCAGTCACAATCCAATTGTGCCCCAAGAAACAATGAGGCTGCTAGCAATCAAACTGAGGACACTATGGCCACATTCAGGTGCAGCACGGAGCCATAGGCTATGGCTAAGCAAATTATGTTGTGTACAAGCTATGTGCTGGTGCTTGCAGCTCAAAGTCTCCCACATTGCACTTCTTTTCCTCCAGTGAGCAAACAAACCACAGAGTGGCTAGTGTAACTACATCTGACCCAACACTTGTGGTTTGTTTAGCTCCAAGCAAACCACAATCTAAAGCCAAATCTCAACTGTAACTTGTTTGGGAGAAACCATTCCTGGGACAGCCACTAATGCTAAGCCAGCCACTACATGGTTTGTTTGCTCACTGGAGGAATGAACAAAATGGAAGCTGTATGCACAGGCTCTTTTGCTTAACCAGGGGTTATGGCTTGATGTTACATACACAGTGAAACAGTGCATTCCAAAACTCATGGGCATGTGTGAACAGCATGCTCGCTAGTAACAACTTCACTAACTGCACATTTATTTTGGCAGGCTGTTTCTTCACATAGCTCAGCTGGATCAATGCACTGACTAACCAACTAACACATGAACCAGAAAGTCCTTGGGAGTGTGGACTACAGCCTAGAGCAGGGATAGCCAGTATGGTGCTCTCCAGTTGTTGTTGGGCTGTAACTCCCAACATCCCTGACCATTGACCATACTGGTTAAGACTGGCTGAGGTGAATTCGACAATTTCCAGAGCATACTATGTGGGTTGTACAAATACTAAATACTAATTACTAATTGCTTGGCTCAGTGGTATTCCACTTTTATCAACCATTTCAGCTTTGCTAGCTGGTTAAGGAAACTCTTCAAGAAAGTGTCAGAAACAATGAACAAATGCAATACTTAAAGAGCCTATTTAGAACATACGTGTGATGCCCAGAGCAAGAAAAAATAAATAAAACACTGTATGCACATTTACCCCCCCCCTTTCCAAATATTTCCCTCCATCAACAGGAAATAAAGCAGTCACATTCTCTTACATTGCACATGCAAAGCACTGCTACAGCACAAAGATTTAATGATATTGGAGACCGGTTATGCAGCTCTTACTCATAAACCACATCCATCGATTCTCAGAAAAGGTCTGTCTTCTGGCTGGATCTTCAATCGCTAAGGATCATCACTCACCAAAACCCCAGTCTCTCTGTGGGCCTACAAACCCTTTGACTTCAGAATGGGGCAGCTGCAACTTTCTGCAATAATTTTTATAACTTCATATTTTTATGAGGGTAGATGATTCATTCAGCCGATATACCCCAATCATATTCTTGTTTGAGCTTGAAAAAGTAAGAACATTTATATTGCTGAGGTAGTATAAAATGCTGAAAACACAAGACACTACACAATGAGACTATGTATTGAATTGGTCTCTGAGAAGAACAACCTTGAATCATCAAAATAATCTTTATGTCTGCAGTGGGACAACTGATTTCAAACCAATTTCATTTCTGAGTGGAATTGTCCATTTTGTTCCAGTAGTGCTAAATATGCATGTGTTTAGTAGCAGGATTTCAATTGTTCTGACAGATTACAGTTGAATTGCATCTAGGGGTGTGCATATGTTTTGTGATGAATGGAAAACTAAACAACTAGTGGTCCAGATCACATTTATCCCAATGCTCAGAGGATGAAACATGGAAGAATGGAAGCACTGTTAAAGGTTTTCAGTGGGTGGGGATTACATGTTTTTGCTGGCAGCAGAGCAGAAAGCAGTAGCTGCTCTTGGCAGCCTCCCATCTCCCCAGAAGCTTCCAACACAGGGTAATTCTGGGATACCTGGGAAGATAAAATGGCATCAGCTGCAGCAATTACGGTATCACATTTTCCATTGGTAGCTACTAATTTTTGCTGAAAATGCAACAGAATGATGTTGCATGATGACATCTGAGGGGTTAGGTGGTAGCTTCCAATATCTGCTCTAGTGTAGCAATGGACAAAATAAATAGATTTAAAAGGGGGGAGGGGAAATTTCAATGGAGATTTGAAACTATACTGAATAACAAAATGAGCACATGAAGGAAACGCAAAACAAATGCAATTTCAATGAAAGAAACATGAGATGAAGAAAGCTTTTACATACAAAATCAAATGCAACCCCCCCCCCAAACAAACACAAGAGCTGTTGCACACACAGCTGTGCTAAGGGTTGGTGAGATAAAATATAATCTTTACATGAATCTGGATGTGAATTAACAAGGGACCTTTAAAGTAGAGGAATCCAGCAGAACAATTTATGTTCCTGTTTGAATCCTGAGAGAGTCCTCTGAACAGCAACTGCAGAATATTTGAAATATTAAGTGTCCAGAAAAAAGTTAGAATTCATTTTCATTTCTCCATCTTTGCTTTTTAAAAAAGCTTCTCTACCACAGAACAGCATGCAGGATCTTGCCACTGATGTGGGAGTATAACCACCATGAGATATAGAGGATATACAGTAGATATATACTAGATCTATAAAAGCAAACTCATGCAGGTGGGGATATCTGCAAAAGAAGTCTGTTGCAAAGTTAATCCCAGGAGCTCTATATTTGCTTAGGCCTTGTGACAACATCTTGTTTTTTGACTTGTTGAATTGCTGGCCTCTTCCCCACCCCCACCCTGTGTAGTTGCACTCTGTCCATACCTCTCCCCAAAGTATTTTATATCCAGAATCTGGCTGTTATATGATTTAGCTTCAGAATTTGGATCCTTTTCCTTATCTGGAAATTGCATCCAGATTTCATCACAGTCCCATGAAAATAAAGCACCCACGTTCTGGTGCTGCATTTGCAAAAAATGTTTTTAAAGCAGAAAGGCCGTGGTGTTGAGAACATAGTTTTGCAAATGTTACTGGCACACACTGACTTTAATTACTTTAATTAATGGCCAGTAGAATGATTTAAAGAAGCAAGTCTTACAGGAGTAGTTTTATCTTGTTTTATGACTAATACTACATCCCCTTTAGGGTAGAGATGACACACTTGTATGCAAACATTTCATTCAACATTAGCTTACGACAAAAACTACAATAAACTGCTAAGCAAGGGAAATCATAGCAAAGATGAAATGTGAAAGCTTTTGAAAACTGGGGAAGGCCACAATTTATAAACTTTAAATTGGCCAGTGGCCCATACCAAAAATGCAGTTGTGCATGCTTTGACACTCTGTCACAACACAGGTATAAATATTTTACCTTACACCAATGCATGTGCTTGTATTCTCTCAGGTGTGCTTTTAAGCAGCTGAAGGCTCAAACGCACAACACAACACAAACTCTCATGCACACAACACGCACACACACTTCCATGTTCAACAAGGCGCAACAGAATGGAGATGAAAGTTTCTATTCCTTGACTACAGATGTGCAAAAATACCACAGAAAGCATAGAGCATCTTGCCCATCTCTTCCTCGTGTCATCTATGTGTGGGAAAGCCATGGTGAGTCAGTTGCACTTTTGCCTCCTCTGCCATTTTGCCCTTGTGTGTTGCTTTCCACCATGAAGCTCTGCTTAACATACACTTCCATCAGGGCCCGATTTAGGTTTGATGAAGCCCTAAGCTACTGAAGATAATGGGGCCCTTTATACAGTGGTAAGTAAAAGGTAAAGGTACCCCTGCCCGTACGGGCCAGTCTTACCAGACTCTAGGGTTGTGCGCCCATCTCACTCTATAGGCCGGGGGCCAGCGCTGTCCGCAGACACTTCCGGGTCACGTGGCCAGCGTGACATCGCTGCTCTGGCGAGCCAGCGCAGCACACGGAACGCCGTTTACCTTCCCGCTAGTAAGCGGTCCCTATTTATCTACTTGCACCCGGGGGTGCTTTCGAACTGCTAGGTTGGCAGGCGCTGGGACCGAACGACGGGAGCGCACCCCGCCGCGGGGATTCGAACCGCCGACCTTTCGATCGGCAAGTCCTAGGCGCTGAGGCTTTAACCCACAGCGCCACCCGCGTCCCTTATACAGTGGTACCTCGGGTTAAGTACTTAATTCGTTTCGGAGGTCCGTTCTTAACCTGAAACTGTTCTTAACCTCAAGCACCACTTTAGCTAATGAGGCCTCCTGCTGCTGCCGCACCGCTGGAGCACAATTTCTGTTCTCATCCTGAAGCAACGTTCTTAACCCGAAGTACTATTTCTGGGTTAGCGGAGTCTGTAACCTGAAGCATATGTAACCTGAAGCATATGTAACCCGAGGTACCACTGTATGTCCAGCTGTCCTTTGTCAACAACAAATTGTCACTGTTTTTTTGTTTTGAATATATTCTATATGGTAATTTATAGCCCTAACAGGTATCTAAAGCCATTTGCACATGCAGAATGTAGGCACCCTATATATAGAAACGAGCAAACCAGTGTTATATTAAGGGAGCATGCTAGCAGGAGGGGCCCATGACTTACATCATACCACACAAAACAAAACACTGTTGCTGTATGTAGGTTTTATTTTATTTGTTTTTTATCTTATATTTTGGAAATGTACATCCAGTTTTTCCCCCTTTAATTTTTTTTTTTGGGGGGGGCCAAGAGAATGGGGCCCTAAGATATAGCTTGTTTAGCTTATACATAAATCCGTCACTGACTTCCAGACAGACCCACACCTGGGAACTGTACCAGGCCTTGCTCTGAGGCACCAAGCCTGCTCTTCAGGCGCTGGACCTTAACCAATCCCCTTGGCTCCTCCTCCTGCAATCTGTGCTTCTGCCCCACAGCAGGCGTCTGAGGGATGTGGCCAAGGGGGTTGGTAAGGGAATGGCATGGGCTGCTTAGCCCCTTCGTTTTGCCTCCACGCCCCATAGCATTTTAAAGCACTTGCTTCCCCGCCCTTGCTGCGTTTGGAGAACCTCCCCGCTTCTGTAATCTGATCCCAGCAGAAGTTGAAGAACTGTAGTTTCAAGGTCTGGATGAAAGCCTGCTTCTGATTGGAGGTAGGACAAAAGAGCAAACAAAGGCTTGTCCTGATTGGTTGGGCAAGGGAAAACTAATGAACCAAGCCGAGGGAAGGCACGCTGCTGTTGCTAGGTTACACTCCATACACAGAGTATGGCCTAGTTCTTGCTCTGCCTATGTAGTTTCCCCTTCTTATGGGTGCTATCTGTGCCAGTAGCTGACCTTATATCTAAGAATAAGAAATGGATCAGGGTTGACTTCTTTGCTCTGCCGTCTGTCTGTCTTAAAAAAAATAAAAAAACCAAAAAATTGCCGCTTAAAAGCTCTTCTATATCAGGATTGCTTTGCCAGGGTAACTTTGTGTTGGCAGATCACAGCTCAATTCAATTCAACAGTTTGAAAAGGCAAAATGTTCTAACCTTTTATTTTTGTGGTCTTTAGGACAGATTCTGTGGGAGAACATGAGTACTATGAATATGCACTCGAGAGCTTACTTGTTGCTGGAAAGAGAGTTTATACAACATGAAGAAGCCAAGATATTTGTGAGTACAGCTGGATTCCCAACCCCCATCCCCTACAACTTTGTTTACAGTGGTCAAGATCAAGACTGAAGTATAACAGTGTATCCATCATCATTATAACCCTCCTCATCGTTAATAAGGGATGTAATGTCTCCTCTCTACTGTTCCATAAATCAAGAGAATTATTATTATTATTATTATTATTATTATTATTATTATTTTAATGTTACACATGGTAAGTGATGTTTAAGAGCCTAACTGGATGAAGTGGGCTAGAAAAATTCTAAATAAAAAACACAGAGAGAGGGCAGTTTATTATGATTCTTTTTTTAAATGAGTTGTGCATTGATTTTGTAACCAAATGATGAAAAATGTTTCTGACTTGGATCCTAACTGATCCTCTGCATATAGAGAGGATTCTTCCATTTGTAGAGGTGAGAAGGATCTAGCAGACGCACCCACTGATGACATCTTTTTTGCCAATTTCTCCTTCCTATACTGCCACATACGGTGTTCAGAGAGTCCTGCAATTCCCTAGAATAGTTTTTTGAGGGGAAAAGGGGCTCCAGGAGAAGAAATGAGGTCAATTAAAGTCACCTCCCCATTTCTGCTGGCTCACAGGGTGCTCCTAGCTGCAGACCCTTTTCCCACTTTTCTCTGAAAAAGACCTAACTTTCTTCCTCATACTTCTTGAAATGCTGGGAATTGGTTTACTAGTGTCTCAAAGCTTCTCTGCTAAAGTGCTTAGGATGGTGCCTAATAGACCATTTCTTAAGAATAAGGTTGCCATCTTAAAAAACTTCACGACAGGCAGACACCTTACCGGTGCAGCCTTTTGCAGCACAGCAATGGGATGGCGAGGAATGTTTTGCCTGTTGATCCTCTGCACCGTGGTCACTCAGCAGTTAAAAACACAGGAGAGATAACCTGTGCCAACCTTAAGTGAAAAAGCCATAGAGTGACCCTGCTGCCATGTAGGGGTTTTCCAGCAATGCCAGAGCAGTAGCAGCCACCTACCCTTCATTTGTGTGGGGACAACTTCTAATACAGGGACAACTAATCTTTATCAGCTCAAGGGCTGCATTTCCAGGGGGTCCACGTCAGTGGTAAGAGGAGACAGAGGCAAAAGTGTACAGAATACACCTCTCCCTCCCTCCCTCCACCCAGCGGCGTAGCGTGGGTTGTCAGCACCCGGGGCAAGGCAAGTAATTTGCGCCCCCTAACCCGTGGATTTGCGCCCCCTAACCCGTGGATTTGCCCTAACCCCAGATGTTGCGCCCGGTGCGGCCGGCCCCCCCTGCACCCCCCACGCTACGCCACTGCCTCCACCTCTCTCTTCCAGGCAAGCAAGAGGCATTATTACAGTGTAAGTGTGGTGGTTAGTGTGTTGGGCTTGACTGGGGAGCCCCGTGTTCAAATCCCCACTCAGCCTAGCCTACTTCATGGATGTTATAAAGAAAAAAATGGGGAAGGGGACAACTGTATGTGTACCACTTTGAGTCCTTCTAGGAGGCAAAATGGAATAGAAAATGCAATAAAAAATAATAATTTTTAAAAATCTAACAAGAGAAAAACATTTGAAGGTCACATAGTTGGACCATTGTGGGATGATGTCAAGGAAGGGGACATGACCAGCTGAAAGTCCCAAGAGCCAAATTGAGGGTCCTCAAGGGCCACATTCAGTCCCTGGGCCTGAGGTTCTGCAATCTTTTCTAGATGATATCTGTCTCAAGAGACAATGGAGTGCACCTCTGGGGGTGAAGTCAAACCATTGCATTAGCAGCTCCGAAGTGACTTCCCTGGGGTGCAAGCCTGGGCTGCTTGTATGGAGGTCCTCAGCTGCCTAGATGATAAGACCTCCTCTTGGCCTCACTCACTGATGTGGTCCAAAGGAAAGCAGATCAATACATTTGGCACCAGCTTGGCTGCTAGAGTCGCCAGAAGGAGGCATACAAAGCGTCATCCAACCGCCTTAGGGACTCTACTCTGGATTTGTGTAGGGTTTATTTAGCCTTTACTTTTCTCAAAGATATCCCATAAGGCAGCAGAGGCTTAGGATCAGAGTTTTCCTTCTCCTAGATGGGCTACTTTTCCAGGTTGATGAACCCCATCTTCCCCCAGTAGTAGGCAAGCAATTATTATTTCCTTAGTACAAGGTAACTTTATATGCTATACTACTTCTCAATGTAGGGATGGATGGGTTTTTATTATATATCCCTTTTAGTTTTTTCTGGGGAGGGGAGGGGGAGTAAGAATTTTGTATTGAGAAGATGATTTACATACCTATCCTTAAAGTAATAAATTTAGAATAAGGAATGGACTGTGGAACAATCTGGAGTTAAGATGAACACAGAGGAATGAACCAAATACAGTATGTGACTTGTGTTGATGAGTTGTTTTGCTTGAGTAGGAATGAAGGGAAATGGTGGGAGAATGCATAGTGTGAAATATTATTTTATCTAAAACATCTGTCCATAGAAAGAATGGATCTTGCAAAGAATGTGGATTCTATCCTTTCCTTAGTAGGAGGCAAATAAAGATGAACATGATAGGAGACTTTTAAAATATTGTAAACACCCCTTGCCTGCAGGGGAGCATGCCCTATCAACTCAAATGGATCTATAAATAATAACTAATTTCACGAATGATTTAGGTGAATTTATGTGTGCATAAAACAAGGTATGTTGATAAATAAAAACTGCAATAAAACAATTTACAGACATACTTTGAATGAAAATGTACAAATTAACGTGATTCAGATACACCAGGAAACCATGTTTCTCTCTCTCTCTCTCTCTCTCTCTCTCTCTCTCCCTCTCTCTCTCTCTCTCTCTCTCTCTCTCTCTCTCTCACACACACACACAATATATCCAGGTAATGTACAGCCATATAAAAATTAATAGCAATACAAAACAATTATTAAAGTGACCATTACATAGGCTATCAGCATTCTGTCTGTGTGAATGGAGCCTGTCCAAATGCTGGATTTGCGCACCCCCACCCCAATCTTCTCTTCCTCTTTCATGTGATGGGGAAGCAGATGGGAAGCTTCTGCTTCTAATTTTAGATTAACTACATCTGAACCCAAGGAACTGGGGTTAGTTTAAGTTAAGGTTAGTGAGAATAAGCCAGAATTAAACTGTGGTTTCAGATCCTAGTTTGTTGTCACTAGTCATAATCTGATCAAACCACAGTCCACCAAGTTCAAACATCACAGGGAACTGTGGTAATTTTAAAATCAGAAGCTTATGATCTCCTTTAGCACATGAAAGGAGAAGTAAAGTGATAGTCCCGTCAAGTCTGAATTGGGCTGCTTTCATTTTTTTTTTCTCAGGGCATTACTGTTGCTCCTGTGGGAGACAGCTTGATGGAATGGGTAGCTGAAATTGAAGGCCTGAAGGATACCTTATGGGAAGGTAGCCATACTGTTTCCTATAAATGTTGTGTTGCACTGTGATATTGCACTGCCAAAACAATTACGAATGCAATGTTTTTAATGTGCCGTTACTACTGCTTGCCAAATATATAACCCTTTACATATAAATGCTTTGCAGTCTCTATTGTGTTCTCTCCTCAATTACCTTGCAACATATTGAGGGATTATATTATATTGCCCAGTTAGTCTGGAAGTGGAACTTGAATCAATGTCTTCCAGATCTCAGTCCAATACCTTAACAGTAGCATTTCAAGAATAATTTTACTCCTTTCACTCTTTACAATCCAATAAAATATCTATTCCAGTTGTAAATATTTGTCTGATTTTAACACCAATGAACGATTCACACTGGGTTGTGAATACAGTGTATAGCTTTATTATGTCATGTAGTGCTTCTCAACACAGATTTGAAGCATATATGAGTGTCATTAGGTGTGTAGACAGTCCTTAACTACATGAACAGTGCCAGTGGATTCACTACAGTTAGGTAACGTAGGAATATAGGAAGCTGCCTTAGATTCAGTTGGACCGTTGGTCCCATGTAGCTCAGTATTATCTGCGTTGACTGCTAGTAGCTCTCCAGGTTTCAGACAAGGGACACTCCCAGCACCACCCAGAGACTTTCCCATTACGTGAAATGAAGTTCACACGCTCGGTGCAAGTATATATGTGAAAATAACTGCTCCTGTGCTTTCATATATTGCATCATGAGTTCAATCTTTGAAATAATAGGTCACCTCCCTGAAATGTTTTGTGATGTAGAAAAAGATTGAAAGAAGAAGAAAAAACAAGATTTCAGTAACCTTTTGAAATGACTGCACATGTATTGATAGCATTGCAAATTTTCAAAAGCAGATGTTTTGCAACTATGAAATATCACAGCATAGGCATTAATATGTCTAAATCTTTATGTAAAGAGTGGAATAGCATATAAACTTTAAACACAATGAATTCGAGCTCATTGCTCTATTATTTGCTAATTCAGAGGTGGCCATCCATACAGCTACCATCCCCAACCTGATGCGGTCTAGTTGTTTGGGTCTGCAGCTGCCATAGTCTTTCACCATTGGCCATGCTGGTTGTGGCAGAAGAGAGTGGTACATCTGATAGGCACCAGGTTAGAGAAGGCTATCTTAGAGGTATAAATGTGACACTGTATGCATCTCTCTAAATCCCCTGATGCACCTTAGGCTCCTTCTGCCCGTTCTCTTTCTGTTCCTGTCATCTGCTTTCCTCTCACACATTTGAAGTCCTGTTCACCACAGCAGGAGAGGGAAGGAGTGGGCAACAAGACCAGGAAGATAGTGGGTGGGAGGAGCTGCAGCTGCTTTATCTCCCATTGCTGCATTAGATTAAAAGGTTTGCATCTGGTGTCTGCATTGCAAAGTAGCAACCCTAGCTATAAATATTTCTAAAAGTATGTCAATATAAAGCTACAGTCTGTGCAAGCCTACATGTAAGTTAGGCATACTGATGACAGCAGGACTTATTTCTAAGTAAATGCATGCAATTTGGGGCTACACGTGCACTTAGATGTTCTGATTTATTTATTTTTTGTACTAGGAGCTGAACTCCAACTATCATTAAGGTACACTGAAGAGTACAACAGAGTCCCTCCAAGCGTCACTTTCAACACTATTCCGTTCCATCCCAATGGTAAGGATGGCACTGATGGTGGTGTCCTTCCCATGGTGGTTGCTTAGCAGCAGAGGCTAGGTGTCCTTGACCCAGTCATGCTCCTAGATTTCAGAGTGGTTCTACTTCAAAGTGCTTTTTAGCAGCTACACATAATTCAAATGCTAAAGCCTTTCCTTAAGGATAGGAATCTATTGACTTGCTACATTTCTCTCAGGTCCTTGGAGCTGCATTTTAGCTTCAAAACAGCCCTATAATGTGGAGTTGCAAAAACCAACCAAAGCTAGCTGTAGTCATTACACCAGTTATAGCTTTCTAATAATTATCGACTTGATAGTTAAACGTCTAGTGTAGAAAAGTGTTGTGAATATGTACCCTAACCAGATGAAGCAGAAACATTGTTGGTTTGTGGACAGTCTGATCCGGATAGAGGTGTACAGGTTGATTCAGATGCAGTTACAGTCCTGCTGAAGACTCAGTTTCACAGCTTGGGGGTCGCCATTGATCCTGCACAGTTCTTAGAGTCCAAACTGGCAGTGATGACTAGGATTGTCCTTTATGAGCTTCAGCTGGTACTACAATTCTGCCCTTTCCTCCAAATCAGACCTGGCCACTATAATTCATGTACTTGTAGACTTGACTGCTGCTTCTGTAGTACACTCTAAATTGTGCTGCTTTTTAAAGGCATCTAGAAATTTCAATTAGTACAAAAAGACACTGCTAGGTCTGTGGTTGTTGCCTGTTTGTTGTCAAGTTCAACTGGAGGGAATGGGTCCCATTTTTTAAGCACTAAATGGCTTTGGGACCTTGATGCATTAAGTATAGCTTTCTTCCATATGGACTCTTTCATGTACTTTTTAAGTATCTGAGGTCCTGCTCCATTCCCACCCCAACAAGCTGAAGTTTGCTTACTATGTAGGAGAAGATCCTTTTTTAGTAGTAGAGCAGATTCCATAGAACTGGATCCCCAGGCCAGTGTTACTGCCTCCCCTTAGACCCACAGGTCTTTTTAAGGAGGCCATAGGTGCAGTAACTCTGTTGTCTTGCTGCTTTTTGTATACATTACTTCTGCTGATACATTTGCAACCACTTTCAATTTTTAATTTTTTTTCTGGTGTTGTGTACTTTTTTGCCTTTATTATGTTGTTTGTTCATTGCTATGACAATTTTTTTAGTCGCTTTGGATTATTTAATAGAAAGCTAGATACAAATTTTAAATGAAAAATAACTCAGTTAGAGCTTTAGATATCTGCATACCTTTCTTTTGTTGTCTAGCTGTAGGGAATAAAACTTATCATAGCCTGTCTAGCATAATTCTGATACAAAGTTTCAACTGTCTTATTGGCATATAAGTGTATGAACCTCCATTCTGAGCATTAATGATTTGTCTTCCATGCAAGTGGACCCAAAGACTGGAAGACCTTGTTTGGATTTTCTAGATGATCCTACCAAGTGGGACACCAAACTTACAATGACTGGTATCCTACTTTGTATCCAGGTAAAGAAAGAACTGTGCAAAAAATAATTTATCTTACTTTTCTTTTGTTATCAGGATAATTGGGGTCTGATGCCAAGATCCAAATAGCTTACTTAGGTTCATGTAATAGGTTTCCATGAGTCCTATGAAGTCCCTGCCACCGCTCACTATTTGAAAATGTGTTCACTCTCCCTCCCATAGCACAAACTGTTTATGAAGCTTCCCTCAGTTTTACAAGTTTCAGAATCAGTTTGCTGGTTAGTAGGAGAGAGGGCCTATAAGGGAAAAAGTATAGCACACATGCACCAGCTTCAAAGAATTGTTTTCTCAGTTTTTTGGATTCCAGTCACAGTATTGATTTCAAACCTAAATTGTATTTGTACGAAGCAGGAACCGTTATTCATATATTTGTTTCATTGAACACCATAGCAGTTTGTTATTGATTTTCATAGTCAAAACATGGAACCCAAAAAGAAAGGAAATCTGTTTCAATCGAAAAGTAGTTGTTGCTGTGGATGTAATATATCAGCAGTTTTGTACAAACTCATTTCTTTGGCCCCATTTTCCAATTAAGGTATGAAATGTGAAACTCAATTTTGTTCATCTTTTGTTAATTCACCTCATTTTGCTCATGTGCTTCACTTACTCCTTATTAGCCTTGTCTGAAACAGCTTGGACAAAACTGTTGTGAGAAGCAATAAAATAAAAGCAGAAAAAGGCCACCTTTTAAAAGCTGTAGCAGTAACTTCTTAATTTGGATAAGAATTTAATCTGTATGTGAATTATGTTTTAGACAGAACTTCAGACAGTTCTAATGGTGAACATGAATAGCCCAGTTGCAGCTTTTACTAGTTCTGTCTTTCATATGTTAAGGCTCTTTCTGTCACTCTTTTACAAGCAAACCAGTGTGGGCAAAGTAATCAACATGGCTAACTTTCCATCATGAATTTTTGAGTGTTCTGGGACAAAATGTGCCTACATTTCTTTGGTGCCGTGCAAAGACACCCAGCTGAATCTTGTTGGGGAACCCTGAGAAAAAGCTGTGAGTGAATTCCTATCTTCTGTGTGCAGAGTATTAGGCTGCACACGCCCCGTACATTTAAAGCACACACACACCAAAAAAAGAATCATGAGAACTGTAGTGCCCCCCTCACAAAGCTACCCTTAACAAACTACAGTTACCAGGAGTCCATCTGGGGCTGGATGTGCTTTAAAAGTATGGTGGATGTGCAGCCTAATGCTCTACACATGCAAGATGGGAATTCACCCATAGATTTTTCTCATGGCGGGACTGGCAGCAATCACCTCTGTAAGGAAGTTGAGGCTGCGAAGTCACTTTCCTGTTAAGTGGTTTAGCCATAGAGAGATCTGGCTCACTGCCCCCCCCCATTACTCCACGTCTGCCACTCAGCCATGTCAGTCAGGAGTGGCATGGTTGAGGCAAACAGAGCAGAATGGTGGGAGGTATAGGCTGACCATACTGTTTTCCTTGTGCATACACACATAGAACAGGATTTGCCAAAGAAGCAAATGTTTGTATCCTTCTTTTCAGTCATGAAATGCTTTTACTTTCTCTGAATTCTGGTGATTCATAAAGCTTTATAAACTGGTATGCCCATGTATCTTCCTGCAGGTTTTGCTGTCTATTCCAGTTTTGAAAAATCCAGTGAACTTGGAGGCAGCTAATTTGCTGAAGAACAATTATCCCCTGTATAGGAAAAAAGTTATACAGTGTGTCAGAACTAGCCAGCACCTAGATGGTAATAAACCTCCATGCTTTATGCTTTTAGTCATAAATATATTCTTTGAGCACCATGGGGAGTTTTAGAAGAACCCGTTTAAATGGCTTTCTTAAAAAAACACTATTTTACACAAGGCAGTAAATTTTAATTAGTGTGATTGGCAATGTAACTTGAGTATGGGTTCTCTAGGCAGATCTATGATCTCACAAAGCATATTTGCCAGGCAGTGTTCAGAGGTGATGCAGAGGTCATGAGCTGGGAAATGAAGCAAGGGCAACACTGGAATAGGAGAAAGTTAGAGTTGTTAGCCAGTGATTTCTTTAGATGCCACATTTACCCTACAGCATCACCCACAATGAAAAGTAACCACATAGCAATGCCACTATTTTGCTACTACTTTACATTAAGGTTTGAGCCCAAGTAAATATTGACATTGGAACTGAGATGTATCCTGCACCTTCCATGTATTCTGATCTCACCTGAGTAGATCAAAGATGTAATATAATTCAGACACGTTAAAATATGTGTAACTATAGGCCACGTTCATTGGACCTCCAAGAGCAGCCTTTCTCAACCTTGGGTCCCCAGATGTTGTTGGACTACAACCAGGGCTTTTTTTCAGCGGGAACTCACTGGAACTCAGTTCTGGTACCTTTCTTGTGGGTTCCAGCACCTCCAGTCATTCTAAGAGAACGAGGGAGGCCTTCATGGTGAGTTCTGGCACCTCTTTTTCTAGAAAAATAGCACTGACTACAACTTGTATCATTTCCTGCCAGCATGGCCAGTGGTCAAGGATGATGGGAATTGCAGTTAAAGAACATAGGGGGACCCAAGATTGAAAAAGGCTGAGCACAAGAAGGGTGGTTTGGTCTTCATATGGCAAGACCCTATATAAGCATTCTTTCCTTGAGGTTGTGTTTGACTGGAGGATGCAGTTCTCAGCTGGGGTAGTTGTAGCATTATCACTATGCAACAGGCCTCCTGGGTCAGGACATCATTTTTATTCTGCACCTGTGATGTGAATGGGCTTGTTCAGACAAGTTAGAATCCGTTCAGGTCTTCATTGACCCCATACAATTTCCTATGGGTTGGCACTAAGCATGGGGCAGGCTCAAAAGCCAGACAGGATCAAATGAGGCACTTGTTGCACATGGTATGTAGACAATTTGCCACTGCACTTTGAATGGTCATGGCAGTACTTCTTCAAGCTGCGGTGATTGTGCAAACTGCAGCAGTTGCATGTCCACCTCACACTTGCAAACACCAATTCACAGAACCATTGCATCCATGTAGTTTTGGCCAGGTTTTGAGATCACTGACATTCCTGTGCATTGGGTTCAACTACATCTGAACTATGTATTAGTGTGCCCTTTGGGGGGCATGATAGGATTGTAAGTGCCCAGAACATTAAGGATAAGCAAATCACATATTTTTAAAAGTTGCTCTTTTTATAGCTATCAGTTTGGAAAGATCTCTCAGCACATTCAGGCGTCCCCAGGAAGATGAAGAATATGGCCAAGAAAGGTAATAAATTATGATTAAAGGTAAAGGTACCCCTGCCTGTACGGGCCAGTCTTGCCAGACTCTAGGGTTGTGCGCCCATCTCACTCTATAGGCCGGGGGCCAGCGCTGTCCGCACACACTTCCGGGTCATGTGGCCAGCGTGACAAGCTGCATCTGGCGAGCCAGCGCAGCACACGGAACGCCGTTTACCTTCCCGCTAGTAAGCGGTCCCTATTTATCTACTTGCACCCGGGGGTGCTTTCAAACTGCTAGGTTGGTAGGCGCTGGGACCGAGCAACGGGAGCGCACCCCGCCGCAGGGATTCGAACCGCCGACCTTTCGATCGGCAAGTCCTAGGCGCTGAGGCTTTAACCCACGGCGCCACCCGCGTCCCTCAAAATATGATTAAGAGGCTGTAAATGGGCCACAAAGAGCTTACAATTTTATAACCATCCAAATTAGGGTAACTGTATAAATTAACTCCTTTTGTATATTTCTGGTTGATCGGTTGGTTGGTTAATTGGTTAATTAGAAAACTAGAAAGCCATCATTCAGAAAAATATATATCAGGATAACAATAAAATGACTGAAACAATAAATATATAAAACCTCTATAAGTTGAAACAGTGGAAGAAGCATTAGAACAAAACCATAAATATTTAGCAGGATGGATAAAACCATAACAACAACAAGAACAACAACAGTTTATTATGGCTGAGTTTTTGTGTTACAGCTAAACCATGGTTTAGTGTTACATGCATGAGCCTCTGCAAGCCCAAGTGAAGCCATAGGCTGCAATGTTCCCCACTCTCTTCCTCCCATGTGACTGGGAGAAGGATTGAACTGTGATTCAGTATCACATTCCACAATTCATTGCTTGTCACTACATATTGTTACAAAAGTAACTGAAAACACAAGAGGGTCTGTAGGAAAGGTGAGCTTTCAGATACTTTGGACCTGTTATTTAGAGCTTTAAACACTAGCGTGCGCACATTAAATTAAGCTTAGAAATGAACCGGCAGCCAATGCAGCTGTTTTAAAGGAATGTTTATACAAATTCTAAAGGCAACCCTATCCAGTAACCTGGTCACTGCATTTTGAACCAGTTGACTTTTCTGATTTGTCTTCAAGGGCAGCCCTACATAGAACGCATTGCAATAATCCAGTCTGAAAGTTACCAGAGCATGGAATACTGTGTCCAAATCATCTCTGTCCTGGGGGGCCGTTTCCAATAACCAAAAGTATCTAGAAACAGCCGAGCCATTGAGGCCAGCTGGGCCTCAGGTGACAATATTGGTTCCAGGAGTTCCCTCGAGCTGCAAACATGCCCCTTCCTGAACTCCATCCATTCCCACCAGAATTTCTGTGGTAGAAAAATATTGGGACAGTTTTATGGGGCAGGAGAGCAAAAAGCTTTAGAGTTGAGGGTACTAGGAAAGTATAGAGGTGTCAGCCTTGTTGTTAGTGGCTGAAGAAGGTTCAGAGTTGAACAGTTTCTCACAACTTTAAATAAAGAGGGAAGTATAAAGTCTTTGAAGAGCAGCTGCTAACATCTTACAGGACAGCAGAAGCAAAAGCGGAGGAAAGAGCAGGGCAGGAACATCAAATATACCAAGAATAATGGTGTTCTTTGTGCTCAAGATTCTTGTCATTTTGTAAGATAGTACGTTGCTGGTCTCCTTCCTCTTGAATTCTTTGAAGCCTTCTGAAATATCTGTGGTAGTAACACGCCCAGAGGGTTTTTTGGAGCTCCTATACATGGCTCCCTCTGTTTGGCTTATTTATAAAATTATGTTGCTGCTTTTATTTTTAATTATTCAATTATTTGATTTGGTGATAGGCCTATTTTATTGAAGTATGTCCAATAGTGAATAAGACATTGAACGCCCTAGGCACTAAGCTGTACAAAGGCTGCATACAACTCTGCCTGCTTTCTCATATTGTCCCCCTGCCAGAGAGAGAGAGAGACCATCCTTTTTTCTTCAAAAAAGTCAGGAAAGAGCCCGCTGTCTAGCTCTCACCTGTTTGTTTGTTTGTTTGTTTGTTTGTTTGTTTGTTTGTTTGTTTGTTTTAATGACATGATTATACTTTTCTTTAAACACAGCACAGCATAGCTTGCTTCTGAATTTCTGAGAAGCCATAACCTGCCCTGTGTTATAGCCAAGTGTGTTGGTGTGTTTCTGACGACTTTATCAGAGGAAGAGGGAAAAGCTTTCAGTTGGAATTTCAGTGCAGCTCTGGGGGTCTTTAAACGCAATCATTAGGGGTGAAAATGTAAAGTTTCAGTATCGTTATAAACTCCTCCCCCCACACACAATTTTTTGGCATCATCACCACTACAACAACTCACAGAGCCAGCACAGGCAATCTCACAGCCATTGCACCCAGAATGTTTCATTCTGTGGAAGAACCTTCTTGGTCCTTAATTCAGCAAAGCGGGGGGGTGGGGGGAAATCTAGGTAGGCCTGTGGGATGCTAACTTGCCCCTCCCATGCTCATTTCTGAGGTGATTGCCTCAGTTTGCCTAACGGTAAGGCTGGCCCTGATCTTGTGGCACCATCTACTTCATGTGGGCTGTCCATCACTTTACAGAAACTGGACTGCCATCTCTCAGGGAAGCTTCAGTTGTATGCTGCATTACAGATTCTCCATTACGGGTCCTGCATTGAGCAAGTGGCTGGACTAAATTGCCTCCAAGGTCCTTTCCAACACTGGTTCTATTCTATGACTCAAAATACATCATTTCCATTGTTTCTGATATAAGACGAATTCAGTATTTATTGTGTTAGATTTTTTTAAAAAAGCGAAGACCAGAGCACAGATGGAAGTTAACTGCTTTTCTTTTTTTTATGAGATCTCTTTCTACAAACAGGATCGTGTTGAGAAGCAGGAATATGAATCAGATTTTCCATAGATATTGCCATCCTGCAACATTTTTAAAATGCTACCACTTTCTTTTTTTTTAAGGTCTGGATTGCTAGCAACCTGATTCACACTGAGGTTTGTGAGTCGTGTACAGATGAAAAAACAAATTGAGAAAAAAATGGTTGGTTCATATGTGAACTTACTTTGATAAACACATCCCTAATATGAATTTTTAAGGCTTATTTCTCTTGATGTTGTCCTAAGCAAGTTATAAGGTCATTTTTCTTAGTTTTTGGGCAGGAGATTCATACAAAGAACCAATCCAGCTCACTCAAACTGGGTGCAAATATGTAGGCTTGTGTTTCCTTAAAGTCATACTGTTTGTCTTTGTGTGGAAAGTGAGTAGTAAGAAATGTGGTCCTTTCAAGCCTCCTTTCTGCCAGAAAACCTGTGTCAGATATCTAATTGCATAATCCTCTCTGAAAACTCATCCTCCTCCCAAATGTATATTTTCAGATATGTTACATCCATATCGTATGAAGAATATTACTGGACATGGGATAAATTGGCCACATCAAAAGCTGCAGAAGAGTTTAAAAGTCCAGGTAAGCTGATGCATTTGGTTTAGCAAAAACTAAAGATAGCAAGCCTGATTCTGATCTTGTGCTAGATTTGAGTAAGTGCAAGGGCTCATTCTCATGACCTCCTAGTACGGCAGCTGCAGTTTTAAGTCAGGCCACACAAACTTTCAAGAGCAATGCCATACACTAAGGAAATTTTTGGGTGAAAGCTGGCTCATGACTTTGAGAGATTTTGGTTAGTCCTATTAAAGGTATTATAATACTGCAGCTTCTGTAGCAGTTGATTTTTTTTGTTATGGAGAAATGTAGCTACCTTCTTTTTAAAGTTGCATGTATGTGCCAGTACCACATGAACAATTCATCATGGATTGATATTTTTCACCCACCGTGCACTCTTGAAATGCTCAAGTGGTATGTAGGAGCAAGACTGGTGCAATACATTGTGTCACCTGAGGCAGACGGTGGCCATCATCCTGCCCCCCCCATTTCCCCTACCTCTGCTGTCAGTTCCCCTCCTCCTTTCCCTTCTGCTGCTGCCACTGTTACCCCTTCCTTGCCTCAACTAGTTACAGTAAACTTAACTTCAGGAGTGCCAGCTTGGCCCTGCGACCATGGATGCCCAGGGCTGTGGGTGCCATGCAGTGTGCATGGCCCTGGCACTGGAATTTGTGGGTGCCCAGTCCCTTCATAGGGAATTTTGTGGGTGCTTGGGCACCCAGGGCCCCAGGGAGTTGGCAGCTACGCTTAAGTTTAAACAGAACTTCTAGCTGTTGCTGCCAATCAATGGCAGCAGAGGTATTCTCCCAGTCCCCTTTTCCAGAACGCCTTTACTCTTCCTCAGAGCATGGCAGGGGGAAGAGGGGGTGGTACTGAAGCTTCTTGCTGCTCTGATGTAGCAGCAGCAGGGCTGGTGGGCGGGCTGGTCAATAGGGGACCAGTTTGCCATTCCCCCAAATAGAATATTTGAAAACTAAAAACATGTACACAGAACAATTCTAATAATAAGTTAGAATTTAAAATAGCAGCAGTAATACAGCAAGGCATAGAAGTCACCAGTGTCTATGAAAATTGGTTATACCCTGTCTCCTGAATAATACAGTGGTGCCCCGCAAGACGAATGCCTCGCAAGATGAAAAACCCACAAGACGAAAGGGTTTTCCGTCGCGGAGGCGCTTCGCAATATGAATTTCCCTATGGGCTTGCTTCGCAAGATGAAAACGTCTTGCGAGTCTCGCCATTTTTTTTTGCTTCCCCCCCCCCCTTTTTCAAAGCCGCTAAGCCGTTAATAGGCTTTTAACACCTAAGCCCGCTAAGCCGCTAATAGCGCTAAATTGCTAATAGCGCTAATCCGCTAAGCCGCTAATAGGGTTGCTTCGCAAGACGAAAAAACCGCTAGACGAAGAGAATCGCGGAACGGATTCTTTTCGTCTTGCGAGGCACCACTGTAAAAGCTTGGTGGCTCAGTTACTCTACAAGTGGGACACAAACACTGGGAAGGTCGTTTTCCTGGTTGCTGTCTTCCTAATGTCAACTGGCAGAAACACCCATAGAACAAACCATGAAACATGTCTTAAATTCACTTTTGTATATAGGATTTTATTTAGGGTTCATGTTGCTCGCTGCAGTTTTCCTTTAGCATTCCTTCAGCTTCCATGCTATGCTGAAAGGCATAGTATGTTTAAGGATCAGGCTTGTTGTTCAGACCCTTATTGTTTCCACTAAACATAATTGTTCCCCTGTTGAAACTGTTGGCAATTCTCTTTCTAGTGTTTGAAGACCCAAACTTCATAGGAAACCGCTATGGATGGAGGGCAGAAAATGTGGACAAAGGACAATGGGATAGTCTTACGTATGTATCTTATGAAAATTCAAATTGTTCACATCGAGAAGCAGCAAAATATGGTGCCAAATTTGGGGTCTTGGTGTTATAGTGATTATATATGCAAAATGTCTTTGTGAGGATATCTGTAGTAAATCAAAATGTATGCTTTGAATTATGAAGCCACAGGGTCAAGTAATACAGAATCACGTAGCAATAATAATAATACAGTGTAAGGACTCCATCAGCAATGAGTTCACCTGTCTCTTTTGTGAAAGTTTAACAACTTTTAGAAAGAAAGAAAGAAAGAAAGAAAGAAAGAAAGAAAGAAAGAAAGAAAGAAAGAAACTTCTGGGGTGTTTGAAGCAGGGGTTCTCAAAAGTTCATAATGCTGTTGTTCAGAAAGCAAATTTGTCTTGCTTATAATGCTCAGATGTATTATGAATTCAGCATTCTTTCCTTGAGAGGTCTTCTCTGGGTCAAAATATAAAAGGAGATTATGGATATCCATGAGCTGTAAGTTTTTAACTGCTCTTCAAAATTTCATTTCTATTTTCATCCCAGTCCTAGGTGCTAATTGTTCCAGGGAACTATGCAGTTCTTAAGTTACAGCACATCTCGAGGCAGCTCCTGAGCCTTGGGAGCAAGGGAGCTCAGCAATCCTTGAACTTGTCTGTCCAAATGAGCAAAACCTTGGCAGGGTCTCCTCATAATTTCTTTCTGTAAACCCTTTCATTAGTCCATGTCACCCTAGTTAGACTCTTAGGGTAGGGTTCCTTCATGTCAAGCGGCTGCTGAAAACTCACTGAAAATATAGGCACCTTTTGACAATAGTAAAAGCAAAAAGAAAACTGAAATGACATGTTTGACTCAGAATTAGTTTTGGGGACAATTCTCTTTATTATTTTATCCAATGTGTGTGGTTGCTGCCTCCTAAGTAGATTTAAAATCTTCTATTCTTCTTTGTGTCTGTTTGGGATTGGGAGAAGAGGCTTGAATTCCCAGTATGCCTCTGATACTAGGTACTGGGGATATAATACTCATGGCCTGTTTGTGGTCTCCGTGCATCTGGTTGGCCACCGTGAGAACAGAATGCTGAATTACATAGGGCTTTGGTCTGATCGGGCCCTTCTTATGTTCTTAATTATTTGTGGAAGACTATCAGGTTGCAGGAGGCCCATACCTGTCCCTATGGATCTCCAAATAATCTTGCCTTTATTTGTTTTTGTGACTCAGTTCAGTGTTCCTTTAGTTCACTGGCTCTATAGAAAATGGCTTTTGGTGGCACAGAAGACTAAATGGATAGTATTGTTTTGCTGCCTTCAAACAACTGAGTATCTGAGAAATAAATTGTCAATAACTCTACCTGTCACCCAGCCTGGCCCTCCTTTGTTACACATAACAGTTACTGCTTCTTTTCTGTCTCTAATCACTGATCTTAGTGCCTCTGTATCTCCACAAGGAGCATCATCAGGGTCAGGATGCAGCACTCAACCAAGTAAATTTGCAATATTTCACATTTTGTCTCATTAAGTAGAGGAGGAGTGGACAAGGAAGTTGACTGTTAGTGGATTCCTATGATTTCCCCAATACTGCAACCAGCCCTCCTTTAGCTGCTACTTATTTTTCCCTGTCATTTTCAATACTTGCATATGACATAATATGCAGAATGGGCTGGTCCTGGGGCTGTGTGGGGAGTGTGTCCTCGTCCTTATAAAGGCCAATCATTCCATTTTATTTGGAACTTGCTCTGGGAACAGAGAAGCATGTGCACCCCTGTCCCTCTGACCCCAGAGCAAATAATCAGTCAGTCTGATTATAATGTCTAAAGGTTATAGAATAGATTATACCCATATGGAAGAATCTATTTTACCTGACTTGCACTATGTATTTAATGTATGTTTTGAAACATGCTGAAGAAGATTGCAACTAATTATTTCATATATATGTTTATATATACAGGGCAGGGAAAGGCACTTCACCAGATAGTTTTGCCCACAAACTCACAGAAACGCTATGAATATCTAATTTGAAGTTCAAATTGAAGGAAAGCAAACTATGGGACTAAATGAGTTTATTTTTCTTTCTGAAGAAACTCGAGGAATATAGGGTTAATTTTTCTTTGACACAACTTCCTTGTTTTATTTCCCTTAACAGAAGTTCTTTGTGTTATGCATTTGATAATTGCTTCATTATGTAGCACCGCAGCATCCTACGTGACCCAAGAAAACATTCCAAAAAACTGAGAACGTCCTTTTTGACCCATCTGTCCATTTTTTACTTTTAAAAAAATGCAGCATGAACAGGCTGGAGCTGTTTGAGAAAGCAGCATTTGCTGTGAATCAGAGCAGCTTTCTCATGTTAACTTCATAGGAACATGAAAGAAACTTGCTATGAACCCCCCACCCGTTTGAATTTGCCTGAGTGAAATGGCCACCTCCCACTGCCATCTGGCGGTAGGAGACAGACGCTTTCCAATCTGGTCTCCTTTTTATCTGTTGCTTCTTTTGCTTGGCAAAAAGCTGATTCCCCTAACTATTGCATGTCAAGATGAGGACGGCAGCAATCCAGTTTTGCTTGTAGTGAAAAAGTTGTCTGCATGGCTGACTGTTGTGTCGCAGCATAAAGCCATACCTGAAGGCAGAGATTGGTGTCTGAATGGTGTAGCAAGGCATCTTAGAATGTTGTCTTTTGCAGGGAGGTGCCAATTGGGTTCCGCTTCAGGCAGGAAATGCCTTGAGGTGGCATTGGCTGCCTGAGGAGCACTTCAGCATCAGCAGAGATATGTCATAGGCATCTTGAGCTAAGTGCTTAAAAGCAATAATTCAGTACAGGCTTCTAAGTAAGCTCTGCTCAAGGATGAAGCACTCAAGCATGTATTTTGAGTGTTTTGCTAGTATATTGACTATATTAATTTTATACAATGTTTTGTGTATAATGTATATAATAAGATATTAGATTTATTTTTTTTAGGAACATAAGGCACTCCTGACAATTAAGATCACATCTTAACATGCAGGAATGGGAATGGGAATTTTCCCAAAGACATACTCGTGCACGTGGCCCTGGATTTGTGCTGTTACCTCTGTGCAAAACAAATAATAATAATAATAATAATAATAATAATAATAATATAACAAACTTTTATTTATAACCCACCCTCCCCAGCCAAAGTCGGGCTCAGGGTGGCTAACATCAGATATATAACATTGGTATAAAATCAAACAATAATTAAATTACCTTCTAAAAGCAGGTCGAAATCAAATTAAAGTCTAAGTAGATGGCTTTCCGCAGAGTTAGGGATGGGAACAGTAAGTTTGAACATTTGCAGTTTCTCTTTTAACATGTACATTTGGATAGGAAGAAAAGAGCAGAGTGATAGTCATAATTTCAGCTCCGCTAAATATACCATTAATTTTATGATTAAAGCTGAATTCATAAAACATTTTAAAACAGCACAAGGCTGTTTTTATGTAGCATTTGTTCCTACAAACTGTGGTGAGAATGGTCAGCCACCTATTTTGTGGGCACCACTGCAAACTTTGCCTGTAGCAGCTTGAAGGATGTAAATAAACAGTTGTCTGAAGGCCCTCATTTTCTGGAGGCCCTGTGTGCTTAGCCTTGCCATGGTGGACTTTCCATAGCTGTTGGGCAGGATGAGAATACCATTCAGCTCACTAAATAGTTGGAGCCTATAGATTACTGTCTCTCAGTACAATTACACTTGCCTTGCGGGGTGGGGGTGGGTTTAAGTTGATAAGCACATGTTAAGTGTCCATCGGATTTCACACACTGATACTTCATAAAGTACTTAGGGCAATGCTTATTACAGAACTAGTCTCTCTGCTGTAGAACGCAAACTTCTGCTATGTACAGAGCTCTTCTGAATTCTGCAATTAAAATGAGTTGTTTGAATATAAAAAGCTTCAAAGCAGTCACTAGCTTCACTTACAAAAACTGCTCTCTTTTTGACATCACATCTCTCATTTTGCTAGACCTAGTAAGCAACATTATGCACCAAAATGCTTCGTAGCCATAGTTAGAGATTGATCCTAAACATTTCTTCTTTCTGGGATATCTCCTGCAATGACTGGGTAATATCCCCAGAACACTAGTGTGTTGTCATGTGTTCTGACATTCTGCAGGTGACATTCATGAGCAGCTTTTGCAAGTTTAGAAGGTCCTATGTTAGGCAACTGGACTTTCCGCAAGGAAGTATATCACATATATATGTAAGCTTCTGCCCCATGGTCATAGCAGGAACAAGAAATGCTGAATAAGGTTTTACAAGGAACTGTGGGCTCATTTTTTAATAAGCTCCCATTGAGTACTATGGGGCAAAGTTAGTTGGCTCCAGTTGGTGACACTTTGGGGAATAGGTGGTGATTAGGACATTAAACTAAATTCTTTCTTGTTGCAGCAAAGTGAGGCTTAGATTTTGTTTGTTTCCCCTTGATTTATCCATATGCACCAGGCAATGTAGTTTGTAACTATTTGTATAAAACAGCAGTGGCGAATAATAGCGAGAAAGGTACATATGAAGATGAATTTTTTTTTAATATTGGGAAGGGTGCCTCAGATTCAGTTAACAGATTGAGAGAGAGCGCAGGGATTTTACCAGCTTAATGATCATTGAAACACTTTGAGCATGTAGTACATTTTAAAGAAACGCCCCCTGCAATTCTTTGTGGAAATCTAAACCATTTACGCCCCCATGTGGCTGAAAGGAGAATTCATTTAACCAAATTAAGTTTATATTTAATTGAAAGTCACTCCCCCCGCCCCCGTTTTGTCAGTGGGAGCAGGAGAATGGATAAATCAAGAGCTTATGCAGACTTTTCATTTTTCAGAAGATCAAGGGGCTCTTGGGTTGATTTCCTTCTAGGTTATGCATTGTCAGGAAGTAGAATTTGAGTTATAGTGGCAAGCAAACCACAAATCACACCGGACAAAACAGATTTTCTCCCACCAGAAACCACTGAAGCCAAAATATATGAATTTAGTGTATGTGTGTTAACTTTTGTGATTGTCATAGACATCTGTTTAACAGTGTCACAAGACTCAATCCCCTCTCTATGCCTGAACAATACTTTTACATTTTAAAAAAATAAGGGAGGAACCTTTAAGTCTAATACTTCTAAAGCGTTTATGTGACCCATTTAAAAGAGTGAAAAATTCAAGGTTAACCCCTCCCCATTGCAGCATTGCTCTGCAAATAATTAAGTTCTTGCTAACTTTTTTTTAAAAAAGTGTATTTCCATTGAAAGATCTGTTTGCCCCTCTCTGTAGCACTGGAGAGCATCTAGTAATGTTGTCTAATTTTAAGGAAAGGGTGAATGTGGTTCCAGAATTTGGGGTTGGTATTGATTTAAATTTGCTTTTATTGTGGCTGTACTGGTACTCTGAGCAATCCACCCGCATGGTTGTGTGGGTAGGCAAAAAAATAATGATAACTGAAGAATTCATCATATCTACTTTTTAAGGACCAAACAACGCATGTTGTGGGAGATCTGATTGGATTTCAAAGTGTCATTTTCCATGTTTTGTCTAGTCTTTTTAATGTTACCACTCTTCTATATTGTTGTCATGCGTAAGGGTATAGCTTTTCTAATATTACAGGACTGTAATATTTCTTTCCAAGGTTAGGTCTGTTTTAGCTGCGACAGTCAGCAAGGATAGCCAAAATGCCCTACAGATGTTGTAGGCTGTAACTCCCATTGGTCCTGACTATTGTTCATACTGGCTGGAGCTGATGTGAGTTGTAGTCCATCTGCAGAGCATCTGGAGGGCACCATGCTGACTACATCTGGTGCATATTTCCCTCCGCCACAGCCAAGGCAGATAACTAGAGTTATTCCACTGGAATATATACAGTGTTCAAGTATTCAACTTTACATTGCATGCTGTCCGTTGCTCAGATTCTGGTGTGAACAACTGCAATTGGTATAGCAAAAAACATCTTGTTAATAAAGTTTATTGCTCTGAAAAAAATGGCGCAAAATGCAAAGAAGCAATATGAGCAGAGCATTAAAAATAAATGAATTCTGGGAATTGTGTTTGCTGTTGTGAGTGAGAGCATGTGAGGTGCCGAGGCACACGCATTCTTGTCCACAGGAGTCCATAAGTGCATGCCTGGGAATGTGGGTTATCCTGCCAATCCTACTTCAAAGGGTCTCTTTCATACTTAGCAGATAAGAACCTGCTTTGTTATCTTGCTGAAAGTTGGGTAAAGTGCTAAATATCTTGAAGAGCAAAGCCCCAGTCAGGACCTGCCCACACTTTCATGAGGCAAGCTGAAACAATTGCCGCATTCAGCTGGGGGTGGCAAATGGGTGCCCCCAAGATCTCTGCTTGCTTGCTTGCCTTGTGGGTTTAAGTACAACATCTAGGCGCAGCAGCAAAGCAGCAGTGGTGGTGCAGGGACTCTCCCAGTCACCTTGTCCAGAATGCCTTGCTCTGAGAAAAGACCCCTTGGCCCTCAGAGCAATGTAGGGAGGAGGTGGAGAGAATGCCAGTGCTTCCACCATTAGCATGGTGGCGGGGAGGGGAGGAAGAGGATAAGGGGGGGGAGAAGGAAGTGGAGTAGGTGGCCATGTCAGGGGCTAGAGGAAGAAGATAAGGAAAAGGTGGCACTAGTGGCAAGGAGGAGGAGGAGTTTGGGCAGAGGTGAGGAGGCTGTGGCCACTCATGTCAAGCAATGCAATTTCTTGTACCAGCATTGCCCCCAGCTGTTTTGTTTTTGTGCATGCTGAAGTATTTTTTCAGATAAGAATTAACTTTGAACTATTCTGGAGCCCTAACCTGAAAGCCACCTGCTGCAGATAAGATTAACTGAAAATCAATTCGGTTTCTAAGACTTTACTTCTGGTACTGTAGCAAACAAGTCCATGTTTCTGTTCATGGCCCAAGTTACATTCAACCGTGCTCATTTCCTTTTTGGTTCTTTATCATTTCAGGCATCGATTGTTAATCTCTGAGTTTATCAAAAACCAAAAGAGAGAAAGATTGGTAGAAAGCAAGAAAAGTTATCATACTCTGCTAAGCCCATCTCCAGGTACTTCTCAGACTCCAAGATTTTTGATTTTTACTTTCTTTGAAGCGACATATGTGTAGGTGGAAGAAATAGCCAACTTTCCCTGAAGTAATTGGGATTGTTGCTTGTGAACTTAGAGCTAAACTGATTTTATAATATACTATATAAAAATATAGCCATCTCTTTTCACTGTTGGAGATCATGTCATTTAGATGAATGAAAAGGTGTATGGGTGTTGCACACTTCCTTCTTTGTGAAGAGCATTTTGGGGGGGGGTCCTATTAGGGCTAGGACAAAATCCTCCTATTTTGCACCAAACTACTGCTGCACAAACATGGAGAGTGCCATTCCAATTCCTTTCTGTATTGCACCGGGAACCTCAAATGAAGACCTTCCTGGTGGTGGCTTAATGCTTGGAGGGCTCATAGCCTGGCTTGGAACAGTACGCCATCACAGAGAAGATTGATCTGCCAGATTGAAGATATTTCCCAAAACTTAATGATCCATCCCTGACAAATGCTTATCAGTCTTCCCTGTAACACCTCCAGAGGATGATTTCACATTCTCCCTAGGCAATCAGGTCTATGGCCCAGAAATGCAAGACAGGATTAAATCATTGTTGCCACACTGCCTCTTGTCCTTGCATGAGTGGCAAAGGTGAACCTCAATCTTCCCTGTGAGTACATTTTCAACATATGGAAAATGTTATTGTACTCTCCTTTAATCATATCTTCTGTAGCATAAAGATATCTGGTTTCCTCTTTTGTACTATCTGCATGGTGGGCAGATTTCTATAAAATGTGTTAACTTTTTCTGTAAAACCCAACATGTAAACATTTTGAGCATACACTCTACCTGATGGACTTTTCCATAAACAAAACAAATTTTATACCTAAAACAATAAATATTAACCCAAATCAAAGGTCCTACCATCTTAAGCCATATTTCCAGACACAAATAATTATATGCATATTATTTCTCAAAAGGATCATAAAAAGTCACTTCAAAGTAACTACCCTACTCCTAATACACTAAAACACCATTTGAGTTCTTTGAAATATAAGAAAAATTATCTAGCACATATGTTAATATAGTATACCACTTTTTAAAATTTAAAAAAACCACAAATGTTGTGCTTCAATTTAGTTACAGTTTTACACACACACAAAATCATTTATTCTCTTGTTTCCTTTTGCATAATTCCTACTATGAAAGCATCTGGATCCCAGAGTACTTCTGGAAGAGAGTCTAAGAACAGGAGCCAGGATGAGGAGCAATGGGAGAAGGAAGCGGAAGATCTAGTAATGTGGTCTGCAAGTCTTGAGAACATGAAATTGGATTAAACTACGATCACTAATGTAATCAAGGTTGAGAGCAATATTGTTGTTGCAATAGGATCAAATGCCCAGCCATTAACCAGACCCCCCTACCCTGTACAGTTTAATACGAGGGAGATCATCTGCATATTAACTGTGCAGTTTAATAAGTGGGTAGCATGTTCTCAAAGTCAAGGGTCCTCTGCCTGAATCACAGCCCCCAAAGTTCTGTATTATGAGGCTGTGAATACTGACAAATTGATGAGCAGAGATTGATGGTGGGTCACATAAGCCTTGGTTGGGTTTTTTTTAAGTGTTTCACTATAGATAAAGACTACAAATGAAGTGCGCACACTTTAGCACCAGTGTGGTGCTGCTGCTGTTGTTGTGATTTATTTTACTACCTGGGTATATAACTATGTGCAGGATGCTTGATGAAGTGAACAGAGAAAGGGGAGGCAAATGAATGCAGAGATAGAAAGGGGAAGAGCATGGGATTGTTTCAATTGCATGTACTTAAGCTTAGTTAGAATGGAGTATGCCGACTAGGGGGATGTTCCAAAGACTTAAAAGTTTGGAGGAACCTGGAACCTCCGGCTTTGAGTACATTAGCCAGTTTTCATCTGCTGCAATCTTTTGCTCCATAGGTGATAAAACATGTAGCACCTGGTCACTTGTGGCAAACTTCCAACAATACCTTCCAGCCCCTGTGACTCCAGCAAAATCCCTATATTTGATATCAAGTTGTTGGGTTTTACTGACCTGAAGTCAACTTTGGTGTAAAGCAGTCTAAAATCATGTCAGCCATAGGTCCAGCCTTATTATTTTTATAATATCATCCATATAAAAATCAACATATATATTAGTGAGCATAAATGAAAGGAGTATTAGATCACTATATGTGAGAAACATTTTCATCATCGCTACTATTTTTCTTCAGCAGGTCAAGAACATAACTGAGGATATCCATGCTTCTTCCACTGTACCCTTGTCAACATATTTCCTTATCTAATAATGACTTACTAGCTATTCCTGACCCTACTATTGGTTAGAAAATATAATTTCTCTTACTATTCCATGTCTCTGTTTCTTGTCCTCATATAACCCATGTGCTCTGAGGCACAGCCCTCTTTCTGCTTTCACCTCAAAATCTGATGCCCGGATAACACATTTGGGTACAGCATTTACCAGCCACACAAGCCCCAAACACAGAATATATATCAACCTTTGCATTTGCCGCCCATCAGCCAGCCATGATACCAGACTCTTGGTGTCCTTTCCCACTTCTCCACCATATGACAGCCAAGGCAACTTTTTCTGTCCTGAAAACCTGAGTCGGTGTGCTTTTGCACTTGACTGCTCTTAGCCACTCCCATTCATTTTGATCGGGTTTGTCTAGGTGGCTTGTGCCTTAAGGCTTGTGCCTGAGATCCCAGGGTGATTTGATGAGCATTGGAAAGGAGACAGAAGGGTGAGAGGATGACATGCATCACAAGGTGGGGAAGCTTTTAATGTCTGACATTTTACTGTTTTTATATGTGCTGTAAGCTGCCCAGAGTGCCTGGGGAAACCCAACCAGACGGGTGGAGTATAAATAAGAAAATTATTATTATTATTATTATTATTATTATTATTATTATTATTATTATTATATGATACAACATGCCTGGTGCAACATGCCTTTGGGAGTGACAGGCATCCTTCACTGATCACTAGGGGCCCACTGAATTTCGCTTCTCGCCTCTGGTTCCTAGGGATATGCATATACCACGTCTTCCTCATCTCCTTTCTAGTGAGAGAGAAATGAGTCAGGTTACTCACAGGCAGTTCTGGCCACCCTTGTCTTTCTTGTATGCAGCAGGAATGGCCATGATTGAACATACATGGTCATAACATCCCCACCCAGTGACTTGGGTGGTGGAAAGCTTTCCAGCGCTGCTCCCTTCCTATGGGCAGCTATCCTTTGGCAACAACACAGTCTGTCTCTCACCATGTGCTTGTGCAGTGCCTAATTTGGGTGGGCTGTGATCTCAGCCAGGATTACCAGAAACTACAGCCCTATAAATACATTATATTTTCAGAATAACAGCTTGCTAGGGCCTCTGGTCATCAAAGTGCTTTGTCCGATGCAAGGCCTGTTTACTGAGTGCATCTTGTGCTGCGATAATTACCTTGAAGTACAGGGCTGATAGTTCCAAATTTAAAAGATAGTATTATCACAGATTTCTCAATCCAAAATACTAGAGACATTGGGAGTTCTTAATCAAAAATAGGCTTTAAGCAAATGATCATTAACTCTGTGAGCAGAACCAGGCTTTTCCGTTCTGTGCATTTTTATAGGCACTATTTTACTGCAGGCCTTTTTTATGAGTTCTGGGATCGTGAGGCTTAAAGAGGGGACACAGCCAGGATTTGGACGTGGGAGGAACAAAGTGTCAAGCTGAGCAGGGCTCCACATTCACATCTGGGACCATTTAGAGCATATTCTTTGTGCGTGTGGTGTTGTTTTTTTTTTAAGTGCTCCAACCGATTATAGGCAAGTAGCAGCTCTGCCGAATGAAACCCAGCAATGTGAATGTGAGAAGAGTAAGTCAGTTGAGCTTACCTGACACTCCTGGATACTGTGACTGGCCTCAGCATGGGGACGAACAAACGTGGTGAAGCATGCTGGTATTTTGCCAATTTCAGCATTCTCATACTCTCCAGTCGATGAAGTTTCATGCCGTAACTTTAACAGCCTGTTCCTAAAAAGAGACATCTGCACAGAATCACACCGTAAGCGATTCACACTGGATCAGTTATATTGACTGGTGTGCTGTCCAGTTTTGGCTGCAATGTTTTGTATGTGAAGAGGAGGGGTGCTATATTGGCAGGTACTATTTAAATGGGGAAATGCCCGCAAATTCACTGCTTTGCAGCAGCTGGCTCTAACAGTGCTGCTGCTACATTAAAGGAAATGGAGACCATGAGCTGAACCACCACATTTCTGCGACCCATAGAGCAACCTCCCTCCCTCCTATGTGAACTTGTAGGAGCAGGCACCTTAGCCTGCCCTCCTAAACCCGGCACACTAAAGCATACATAATTCCTCTTCTCATGCGTAAAAAGAAATGGTGGTTTTAAGTTTCACCATTACTTGGAGAATAGACACCCATACCTTAGAATAGAGCCCCATACAATAATCATGTAAAAAACCAAAATTGGTGTGTAGATGGGTGCAATACTATTTATGGATAAAGAATATGAAGAAATCCCTTCATGAAGGAAACCAGTGTAAATGCACTGATATCACTTATGGGCTTATATCTTCTTTTGCAGTGAGAACTGGATTGCAGTGTAGTGTTCTTCAGCTCAATGTCCTCTAGAAGGCACTATATCACTGTGAAATTCACAGTTTTTTTATTCCTCTTAGGAAATAAGCCATTTGTAATTGCTTGATTTGAAGCTAGTTATCATCGTTTCCTGCTCTTAATTATAAAAGTTTTTTTAAATCATTTTAACACAATACAGTCCATCTTTTTTGTGGGAAAGGATGTTTTGTTCAGTATGATGGAATTTACAAGTGAAGGACCGTCTCAAAATGTTTTTTTAAAAAAACATAAATACATCTAAAGAATATTGTTAAGTGTTGAATCCTGTAAAGAATTATGGCACCTAAACTTGGTATTTGAAAAGTTATTTAATGTCTTTATTAAATAAAATATTTTTTAAAGCATATACAAAATAGAAGAAACACTCTGGAAGTTGCAAGGGAAATAAACAGGGTACGCAGGGGTGAAACCAGGCTTTATTTCACCGAGGTGAAAGTCCCAATCTGGCACCCACATGTGCATTTGCGTACATACACACATAGGCTGGGAGGCTTCACCTGGGGCAAAAAATCCTGGCCAGCCCCCCGCCCATAGCTACAAAGGTACCACAGTGATCAGGACTGTATGAAATCACTGAATGATGTACATCTGAGTCAGGTCAGCATCAAGTGATCCAATTTACACTCTGCTTTGGAACATGTTTTTTAAAAGAGCCTGGCTAGCTTTTCAAATATTTTTTAATTCAAAGACTTTCTAAAGAAAGGCCTGAAGTAACTGATATTATAGTTTGAAATCTTGTTTATTCTGTTATATTTTACTCCAAGAAGACCCATTTATCCTAAATAGCACCCAATAAGGCAGACATGTATGTATAAAATATTTTTTAAAAAATGTGATCCCATTGAGATCCCAAGATGAAATATTGCAGGTAGCTCTTAGAAATGTTAAATAATCAATAAAAAGTTTTTGAATTTTTAAACTCATATTATTTTTTTTTAATTACTTGTACTTAAATACTTAAAAATATGTAACTTAAAGTAAGTCCATCATGTAACATAGCATATTAAAGCCCATGAAGTTCTGAAGAGATTGGTGTTTTTAGTTTTGACGTCTCTCAGTTGGATGACATAAGGTAAAAAAGTTGGATCACTTGATATGGAATGACCCAGTACTGCTGTAACAGGGAACTGCAATAACATTGAAATACATGTGTCCTGTTTACATTATTCACAGAAAAAGGCATTTAGTGTTAAATCTTAGTGGCTCCATTCCCCACTCTTTTAAATGCAGTCCTGACCTCCCACTATAGCTAGTGCTAAAACTTCCCTCTATTTCAGCTCAGAATTGCACCCTACACAGCGTATGTCAAAAACAAACTCGCATACTAGGGACTTCTCAACAAACCAATCCATGTACAGTAGTACCTTGGTTACATACACTTCAGCTTACAGACTCCGCTAACCCAGAAATAGTACCTCGGGTTAAGAACTTTGCTTCAGGATGAGAACAGAAATCGTGCGGCAGCAGCGGGAGGCCCCATTAGCTAAAGTGGTGCTTCAGGTGAAGAACAGTTTCAGGTTAAGAACGGACCTCTGGAACGAATTAAGCACGTAACCAGAGGTACCACTGTATATACTGCTTACTTGCCAAAATGGCTTCTAAGAGGCTTACAAGTATAAAAACCAGTTATGAAAGTATTGACCCCACATAATTAAAATACACAATAAAACAATTTCATCAAAACATTAAAATAAGCACCCATAAATAAAATGTACACTAAAATGCCATTAAAACAGCACTGCTTAAAACCATAAGGAAAGTTCTAATCCGCATATCAACCAATATTCTAAAACGCCCCAAGAATGAGGCAGATAAATGGAAAGCTCTTTTACAGAGGAAGAAAACTTCCAAGAAACTGGGGGACAGATTTTGACTCAGCACTCATTGAAACAATATGAGTAACCCTCTTTTAAGATTACCGCAAAGCCCTTCTGAGATCTGACAGACGCAGAGCCTCCTACTCTGCTCTTCCTTCCCCCACTCTACATTTATGAGAGTGTTTCTGTTTTGACATGGTAATAATGACCTGATGAGAAGAGGCATACTGTGAGGATTAATAACAACTTGACAAGATGTGACTAATGATGATGGCAGGTTTGTTGAAGAAAACCCAAGTACCTTGGTCAGATAGTGCTGAGGAATGCAGAGGATGTTTGAAAGTGCACACATGCAGGGCGATGTAGCAGGCACTAAGGGGGCTCTGACCTTTAGCTGGCTCACTAGTCATCAAAACTAGATTCAGGGCAAAATAAACAGAATAGAAGCAGCCTGTGAAACCACTAAGGGGGAAAAGAGGGGGAATGCTTGAAAACATATGAAGGAGGAGCTAACCTGATAAGTTGTGCATCCTTTTGCATGGTTTTGTACGTTTTGTTGTATTTTGTGCCTTGTGATTTGCTGTTATTTTGTTGATTATAGATTAGTGATTCTTTATTGCAATTGATAAGTGTAAACCGTTCAATTATTATTTGCTGTTTTTAATTTTGCCGTTTACTGTTGGATTCTAGTGGAATATTGGATATTGCTTTGTTTGATGTAAGTTGTTTATTTTAAAGTTATTGTGACTTTTTATATAGGATCTGATTGTTACTATCAATGTTTGATGTATTATTATTATTATTATTATTATTATTATTATTATTATTTGTGTTGGAAGCTGCCCAGAGTGGCTGAGGCAATGCAGCCGGATGGGTGGGGTATAA